AGGAATGATTGATCAGGGGATTAAATTTTTTAACAGCATGAGCAAGGAATTTGGGGTTATTCCTGGTCAAGAACACTATGCTTGCATGGTTGACCTACTGGGTCGTGCTGGTCGCTTAAATGAAGCTATGGAGCTCATTGAAGGTATGCAAATGGAACCAAGCTCGGTAGTGTGGGTGGCATTGCTTAGTGGCTGCAGGATCCATGCAAATGTGGAATTGGGGGAACATGCTGCAAAGCAACTGCTGGAATTGAACTCAGAAAATGATGGATCTTGTACACTTCTTTCAAACATATATGCCAATGCCAGGCGCTGGAAAGATGTGGCCAGGGTCAGATCTTTAATGAAAAATAGTGGAATTAGGAAGAGACCTGGCTGCAGTTGGGTCCAGGGAAAGAAAGGCACCGCAACCTTCTATGTTGCAGACAAGACTCATCCACAGTCAAAGCAGATATATGAAATCCTGAGAGGCTTGACTCAACGGATTAAAGTCCTTGGATATGTTCCAGAGACCAGCTTTGCACTTCATGACGTGGATGATGAAGAGAAAGGTGATCTTCTTTTTGAACACAGTGAGAAGTTGGCCCTTGCCTATGGCATCTTAATATCAGCTCCAGGGGCACCCATCCGGATCACCAAGAACTTGCGTGTGTGTGGGGATTGCCACAATGCCATTACCTACATATCCATGATCATTGACCATGAAATCATATTGAGAGACTCAAGCCGCTTCCATCATTTCAAAAAAGGGTCTTGCTCCTGCAGAGGTTATTGGTGATGCTGGAATTATAGATGTGCAGTCAACTTTCCCCCCCTTTGAGAACTACAAGAGGTATTTAGATAGTTTTGTAGGCATGAAGAGGATAATTTTACAATTGTATATTTGTACTCCCCAAGGAGGGGAGGCAGAAAATTATAAAATGGCTAATTTAGAAGATTATTGAAAATTTCTTTGTTGCTCTCATGGATCATTGTTTCTTTCCTTTCCTGGTTTATGCTTTTTTGTCCATCCCTTGGGTCTGCAGCTAAATTACTCTCAATTATAGCCGCCAAACCTTACTTTTCTTTTGGGACTTTAACTTTCAGTTTATTTATTTTTTTGGCTGACAAGGCTGTATATTGCCAAGTTTGAAATCCTGAAACAGAGTTTGCATATTTAAATGCAAACTTAGTTGGTATTATTTAGATGAAATTCTGAATTTCATTGGGATATTATGAAGGAATTTGAACGGCCTTTGTTTAAAATCTTTGGTTTGGGCCCTAGAGGATTCAGAACTCAATGTTTCTAAGCTTTAATTCAGCTGTCTTTCTTGTTCCAGGGAATAATCATATAGATACCGGATGCACTCCCCTTGATTAGAAGCAGCAGCTCCAAGTCAACTGGATTGATGGAAAAAGTTGCTTAAATAATAAGCAAGATTCAAATGGGAGTGAGCAAAGCATAAAGTCCTTTTCAGCTCAGCAGCAGCAAAACAGTGAAGCAAGGGCTCTCCCTAGCAGCTGCAACATTGTCCCCAGCAGAGAAAAGGATAAACACAGAGAGGCGTTAAGAAAACAAGAAATAAACCAAATTAACAGTCTTTTTTGTATAAGGTATTTTGACATACAAAATCCTTTCTTTTCTTTCTCAGGGTGTGTAGATACCAGAAAATAAGAAGGCGGTTGATAAACTGGTAAAGCTACTCCTGCTAATAAGTGACAAGATAATACAAGAGAAATTCTGAAATGTTTTCTGTATTTTTCACTAAGAGAGTTACAATATATATATATACATCAAGAAGTATCAAATCCTTTAATTCTAGGATCTAATAAACATAATAAGATTCTTTAATATTAGGCCTAGACAATAATTGAGATCTTTAGAGAGAATCCAGGGATATGCAACTATGACAAAAATAGAATAAGAAAAGGAGAATATACTCACAGCTACAAAAGAAAGACTAATAGCTATTAAAGAAAGGAAATAAAAGAGAATATATCGACATCCCCCCTCAAATTGATGCGGGTAGGTCGAACAACATCAATTTGTGACTGAGAAACTTATGTCGTTGGCGTGTCAAGGCTTTTGTAAAGACATCAGCGATTTGAAGAGCAGTATTGAGATGAGGAAGAGTGATAACACCGCGAGTAAAGGCCTCCCTAATATAATGACAGTCCACCTCTATGTGCTTGGTGCGTTCATGGTAGACCGGATTTGCAGCTATTTGAATAGCACTAGTATTATCACCATGAAGTGGAGTAGGAGCAGTAGGGGGGAACCCAAGTTCAGAAATAAGACCACGTAACCACACAATTTCAGAACAAGCTGCTGACATGGCTCGATACTCAGCCTCTGTAGAAGATTTAGAGACACAATCCTGCTTCTTACACTTCCAAGAGATCAAGGCATCTCCAAGAAAAATGCACCAGCCTGTAATAGATTTTCTAGTATCTGGGCAGCCAGCCCAATCCGCATCACTATAGGAAGTCAAGGTAAGAGTAGAATGTTTGGGAAAAAACAACCCACGAGTAGGGGACCCAATTAAGTATCGAATAAGACGACGAACGACAGCAAGATGAAGATGTCGAGGTGTCAACCCACGAGTAGGGGACCCAATTAAGTATCGAATAAGACGACGAACTGCAGCAAGATGAAGATGTCGAGGTGCCTGCATAAATTTGCTAACTATATGGACAGCATAGGAGATATCAGGCCTTGTAATTGTTAGGTAGATAAGACTACCAACAAGTTGCCGATATAAAAAAGGATTAGGCAAAAGCTCGCCTTCATCTTTTCGGTATTTCACATTCACCTCCATTGGTGTATCAACAGCAGTAGCATTCTTTAAATCAGCAAGCTCAATGAGATCCTGAATATATTTATGTTGATTTAAGAACAAACCATGATCTCTAGAGTGAACTTCCAGCCCCAAAAAATATGTGAGATGTCCAAGATCTTTCATTTGAAATGTACTATGTAACATATGTTGAAGCTTGGTGATCAACCCAATGTCATTACCAGTGAGGATAATATCATCAACATAAACTAAGAGAAATACCATACCAGTGGTGGTCTTGTAAAAGAAAAGGGATGAATCATATTGACTTTGTGTGAAGGAGAAGGTGAGAAGAGTGTTGCGAAACTTCTCAAACCAGGCTCTAGGTGCTTGTTTCAACCCATACAAAGAGCGTCTTAGTTTGCAAACTGCATTAGAAGCCTTTATGGACATACCAGGTGGAAGTGTCATATAAATCTCTTCCTTAAGATCCCCATGCAAGAAGGCATTGGTTACATCCATCTGATATAAAGGCCAGGCTTTAGAGGCTGCAATAGCAAGAAGTGTTCTCACCGTAGTCATCTTAGCAACGGGTGCGAAGGTTTCTTCATAGTCGAAGCCATATTGTTGTTTATTGCCAAGAGCAACCAATCGAGCTTTGTATCTATCCAAAGATCCATCAGACTTGAGTTTCACAGTATAAACCCACATGCTCCCAATAGGCTTAACATGTGAAGGACAAGAAATAATGTCCCAAGTATGATTGGCCTTAAGTGCGTGAAGTTCTGCCTCCATGGCTTGTTTCCAGCACTCATGTTCGCTAGCCTGTTTATAACAAGTAGGAATGGAAATAGAAGACAGAGTAGTAGACATAGCTACAGGAGTTGAGAAACCATACCTTTTAGGAGGTTTGTGAGGTCTAGAGCTTCTATGAAGAGGAGGGGGAGCATAGGAAATGGGCAGAACAAGATCAGATGTTGCAGGAAGATGTGAAGGAACCTCGGTGAGACCTGAAGAAAGAGCAGAAGCAGAAGTGCGTCTATGATAAACATAACCAGGTTTAAACCTTTGTATTGGTGTGGACGACTTAGGAAAAAATGGTAAAACAGATAGAGCCAATACAGAAAGCTGTTGGGTGCAAAAGAAAGGCTGATTTTCAAAAAATATAACATTCCTAGAGACACGAGTTCGACGTGCATGTGGATCATAACAAAGAAATCCTTTTTGGGTGACAGCATAGCCTAAGAAAGCACACTTGACGGATTGGGCAGTAAGTTTATTTCTCTCATGTGCAGGAAGGTGAACAAAACAAACACATCCAAAAATATGAAGATTGGAATAATTTGGTGCATGTCCAAACAAACGAACATAGGGAGAATCATTGTTCAAGTGAGGAGATGGTAATCGATTAATTAAATAAACAGCAGTACATAAAGCTTCACACCAAAAATGAGAAGGAACATATGACTCAAGGAGAAGAGTTCGAACAACATCAAGAAGATGACGATTCTTTCTTTCAGCCACACCGTTTTGTTGTGGGGTGAAAGGACAAGAACGTTGTGATATGATCCCATGACTTTGAAGAAAAAATTGAAATGCATTTGACATATATTCACCACCTGAATCAGATTGCAGAATTTTAATTTTGGCAGAAAATTGTGTCTCAACTAAGGCAAGAAGGGCTTTAAACACAGAGAAAACCTCACTTTTAGATCGAAGAAAATATACCCAAGTAAAACGAGTGAAATCGTCTATAAATGTAACAAAATATCTATAATGTTCATGAGAAATGACAGGTGCAATACCCCATACATCAGTATGCACGATTTCAAAAGGTTTGGTGGTGTGAGTTTTATGCAATGGAAAAGGAAGTGTTTTGCTTTTACCAAGTTTGCAAGATGCACAATCAACAATATCATTATGAGAAGAAGTTGAATTTTTATTTCCTAATAAACCAGATTTAAACAAGACTCGAAGTACATGAGAATTAGGATGTCCTAAACGTCTATGCCACACCTGATTATCACAGTGAGCAGCATTACATGCAACATAATTTAACATAGGAGAGGGAGATAGAAACAAGGGAAATAGACGTCCCACTTTAGGTCCCTTCACGATCATCTTCCCGGACACTTGATCCTGCACAAAACAACCAGATTTGGAAAAATGAACATCACAATTGTTGTCAACTAATTGGCCAACAGATATAAGATTAGTGGACAGCTTAAGAGACAAAGACAGTATTCAGAAGGGCTGAATATCACCAACAGCTGTGATAGACAAAGGATTACCATCGGCAGTACGAATATGAAGATTACCTTTATATTTTTTAACATTATTTAAAGGTAAGACAGTGTTGGTCATGTGATTAGAAGCAGCAGAATCAAAATACCAAGGCTTAGGAATGGAATTTCGGTTACCTGAAAGGCCTAAAGCAGAAAGGGCAGAAACTATCATTTGTTGGACCATTTCAGGGGTAATAGAGGACTGACCAGGACTAGGAGTATTGGAGGAACCAACCGAGACATTATAGGCGGTTTCAGATTTCTTTGGAGGCCGGATGGAGCAATCTTTGATGATATGCCCTGTTTTCTTACAATAGTTGCAGAATTTTTTGGTACAAGTAGTGGCAATGTGCCCAAATCCTTTGCAGCTATAACACTGAACATTTGACATATTTCTACCTCCTTTAAACCTCCCTTGAGCAGTGTATGCAACAGGGATTGGAGTAGAATTTTGAGCTTTCTGCTCCAAGACAGCTTGTGTAATGATCCGTTGTTCTTCCCTGAGAAGCTCTCCTACACAAATATCCAAGAAAGGAACTGGTTCTCTATTCATCAGGTTGGACCTGATTGCTTCAAATTCCCCTCTTAACTTCATTAAAAATTGATCACGCTTGCTAGTCTCATGCACACTTTGAATAACAATAAGTCCTTCAAGAGGTACACTTGCATACACAATGTCTGTGTACTCAGCTCAAAGATTTACAAAGGAAGAATAAAACTCTTGTATTGACATACTGTCTTGACTGAGTTGACCTAATTCGAGTTCCAATTGGAACCTTCGTGCTGCATTGCTTTGGTTGTAAACTTTCTTCAGATAATCCCACATTTCTCTAGATGATTTGTAAGGCTTGAGATTGAGAAGCATGGAGTGTTCCATACTTCCAAGGATCCAAGACATAATCTGAGCATCCTTCACCTCCCATTTCACATATTTCTCCTTTTCCTGCTCACTGTCAGGTGCAGGAACTGTCCCAGCAATATGACCCCATAATTCCTTTCCCTTGACAAAAATCTGAAACTGGAAAGCCCAGGCAGAATAGTTCTTTCCAGTAAATCGAACAATAAAATGTTCAGATCGTTCCATAGACAAGATTTAACTAGAAACAAGAACAAAAAGATCAAGTCCAAGAAAAACAGAATAAAAGAACCAGATAAGGAACTAGACACAAGATGAATTGATTTCAGAATTTTGGCTCTGATACCATGACAAGATAATACAAGAGAAATTCTGAAATGTTTTCTGTCCCCCTTTCACTAAGAGAGTTACAATATATATATACATCAAGAAGTATCAAATCCTTTAATTCTAGGATCTAATAAACATAATCAGATTCTTTAATACTAGGCCTAGACAATAATTGAGATCTTTAGAGAGAATCCAGGGATATACAGTTATGATAGAAATAGAATAAGAAAAAGAGAATATACTGACAGCTACAAAAGAAAGACTAATAGCTATTAAAGAAAGGAAATAAAAGAGAATATATTGACAATAAGGACCATCCTGTCTTTCTCTTGCCCTTTTTCATTATTACAGAAATGAAATGTAATATCTTCTTATTTCTTTTGCTTTAACTTGCTTTTGTCCTGATGGTTGATTGCAACTGAAATGACTGACCTAGTCCCTAGTATTGTTTTTGTTTTTATTACTTGGCTTTGCCAGATTAAAAATGTTCACAGTTACCCTATAATAAAATCAAATCTACGGTGGGTGGAATGGTTGTCACGAGAACGGAACTTGCATACAATTCTGATTTTCAATCTAATTTGGAGAAGTTGGAATATGCATGTCTCTCAGGGAATGGTTGACCTCTGCTCATTCAATTTTTACAGCACTTTGCACTCCATGCATGAAATGAAAGTACGTCAAAAGTATGAAAAACATATATGAATCATTTGTTCAATTCGTGATGTTTAAGATCAAAATTCTTGGTAGTGTTACATGTACTTACATGCATATTTGCTTTACGTGGAAGCAAAGGGAGTTCCTAATGTTGTTCAGAAAGTAGTATTCTGTGTTGGGAGGTGAGCCCTTTCATTGAATTAAAACTAGCAGGATAAGGTTTAAAGGCATCAACCATGAAGTGTATTCTTTCTGTGATGATGCTTGTAGCCTCTGTAAATTTTAAGCTGTTTATGAATCCCACAGATAATCAAGGGCCGTGTTTCACAGTGCTTGGAATTCATACGACAAGACATGTTTTTTTTTTATTTTGTATTGTTCGTTAATGCCGTTATTCCTATTTTTCCTTCGCTTATCATTACTTTTTATGGTTTTACAGGTCCTTATCAACTTGTATCCATACATGCAGTGGTTGCAGAGGATGAAGTTGTCCCCAACTCTATGTATAAGAATTTTGGGAGGATGAAGATGAGCCTGCATCTGTGTGTCGATGCTCTTTTTTGTTCATGAAATTAGCAGTTACTCAGCTTATTTGCAGAATCCATATGCGATTAGGTATATTCAGTCAATACTCGTGTGCACTTGACATGATACACTTTATATTGAGTTAGGCCTTGTCTTTATAGACTGGTTCGTTCAGATGTCTAGAGAAGTTATTAAAAAAATTAATTATTTCCTCTATTTATATAGGAATATAATCCATATAAAAATGTAAGTTTTCCTTTAACAGAAAGTTGTTGTTATTATTATTTTTTTTAACTCAAAATTAATTTGATATAACTTATAAAAATATTGTGAAATATCACTTTAATTCTAGTAATTAAAATGATGTTAAAATAATTAATTTAGAATAAAAAAATGAATTTTCATGTTACCAATAAGTTTCTTTTAAATCTACATCAAAGAATTAATTTTATTTAATAACTTCCTTTATTTTCTAGGCTATCATGTCTTTTGGTGATTTGAACGCTATTGTAATCGAGCGACTCGCCTTCGTGTGTGTGTAGGTATTTTCAATGTAAAAAATTAATTAAAAATTAAAAAGCTAATGTATATATTTAATTAAATAAATTAAAAATTATATAAATCAATAAAAAACAAAAAAGAGTCAATACTAACTAAAAATTAAACTAAAGAGTTACAAAAAAGACGTAGATTATAAATAATCTCGCAACACATGTTATAGAGTAACAGTTTTATTTTTTAAAATAATTATTTATTTAATTAAATAATAATAAAAATAAATATGAGAAATTAATTGAATGAAATTTAAGAAAAAAGGAACGCTTGTAAATATTAGAAAATAATATCACAACCACAATCTTATTTGAAAACCAAATAAAAATCTAAAGTATATTTTATTTAAAAATACTTTTTTAATTTATTTAAATCAATTATTATCAATTGAAATTGAATACTTTCCCACACATATTTAGTTACTCTATTTTAATTAATTTAAATTTAAATAAAAAATCTAAAGTTAAAGAGGATGAATCAGTGCCAGAGATCACATTGGTTTCATTAATTTGATAAGAAACCATGATTTATAAACAAGTACGAACTAGGCAACTATAGCTTGAAGTGCCAAAATGTAATTAATTTTATTTAATGTACTAAGAATATTAAAACAATTATTTTGAATAACATTTTCTAACTATATTATTGTTTTTTATGCTAAATTATTATGAAGTTGTTTCTTCATTACATAATGTTTAATTACACTATTTGACGTGAATTTTGGAAGTTTGAGCAATTCAATACAAACCTTTTCTAATAAAATAAAAACTGGTAGAAACAGTTTATCATTAAATTGATAAAAATAATTTATTATTTTATTTCCTATCATAGTTGTTTGTGTGTTTAGTGGGTAATAATATAGTAACTAACCATCAATTATATCATTATTAAAAGAGAAAAACACCCTTAACTTCATATAATTTGGTTAATTTTTCATTTACTCGCTATTTTATAAAATATTATAGTTTATATTCTAAATTTTATATGTGATAGCACTTAATATTCCCATAAAAAAATAATAAAAATATTTAATTATTTATAAGATTGTCATTATTTTTTATTTAACAAACATGGAACCCTTACATTAAATATTATAAATTTACCCTTAAATAAAAATAAAAAAACCTAGCATATGCTCCATAACCAAACCCAGATCTCCAAAAAAAAAAAAAACCCTGCCGTCTGCATCCCAAATCTCGACCATCATGAATTAAAACAACACCACCGACCATCATAAATTAAAACAACACCGAAAACCATCTTCAAAACTTGTGTCTCCAGGCATGATATGTGGTACGGAAGAACCTAGTCCAACAAATACTACATGATTTGAACATCGTCTGCTAGTATCTCAATTGCATTAGTCATCCTAAGCATTGCTGGTTCCATTAATGCCATGTTCTGATTCATGCTTAATTTATGTTATTACTATAACAAGCTTAATTTATGTTGTAACCATAAACACCCTAAACACCCTGAACAGTAGTGCAACATATTCTGTATTTAAAGATGCCACAAATCACAAAATCTCCTCGCACAGTTTGAAGGGAGTTACATTGCTCTTTCTTGTAACAAGTATGGAAGTAATGTTGTGGAGAAATGCTTGTTAACAACAAGTGAGGATCAATCCACGCAAATAATCTTGGAGTTCCTAAGCAATCGAGGTGCTTCCATGCTCCTTGTGGATCCTTTTGGAAATTTTGTTATCCAGAAGGCACTATCAGTTTCTCATGTTAGATCATTTGCACTCCAAGATATATCTCACCTGCTTGTTGGATAAATGCAAACCAGGTGTAATGTGTAGACAGTAAGCATCACTTTATTCTTCAACATATCTAACTAAGATTATCAGTATCAAATTGTTTCTATATGCCATTCCTGTTGTTTAATTGAACTTTACAGTGCGAGTGTATTGACAATCTGGACTTCCCAGGATCGAACTGCTTGAATTGATATGAATATATTTTAGTCAATTCTCAACATGAGAAACATATTTTTATGAGGAATTAAGTCTGCTTAATTTAAGTTATTATCATAACAAGGTTAATTTATGTTATGTTGTAATCATAAACACCCTGAAGATGTGGTTGCCATAACAAACCTGTGTTGTGTCTTGAGATCCATTCAAGTAAATTTCTCTCAGAACACAGTCCAGCATGCTTGAATAGCTAGTTCTGGAGAATCGTTGTGTGAAGATGTGAAAGCATCCATTCTTCAAGTTACAGGGTCATGTTTACCATTTTGTCTCTCTCATTTGTGATATGCTACACATGAAACAAAACCATTCAAAACAGATCAGGCTATAGGAGCCTAAAGTGATCTTCCCTTGTTAAAATTAAGGGATGAGTTTGATAGAAATAAGATATTAATTGCCTCCAATATCCAAAAGGGCAATACTAACAAAGCCCTGAATTTTTTCAATGACATAGTTTATAGAATTATAAAATCAAGCTGAATAAATCAAAGACAATCATGAACAGAACAGCACAAAGAAAATACGGACAGAAATAACATCTAAAGTAGTAGTTGCTGCGGTTAAATTATAATATGATGCAAGAAATAAAGGTAAACGGTTATCATAAGAATTAAAAGGCTATGGTCATACCAAATAGCAGAAGAGGCTCTCACAATATTCATGCTTATCCAATCGTTTTGTCACGAAATCTTGACCCCCCTCCTCTTTTCATGATAAAGCCATTCATCTAAACTGCATTTAGCTTCTACTAATACCTGGAACGACTAAGCTAACCACATGAGATCAGATTTTGGAAAACTTATCCTTTTTACTATGTTATAAAAAGTTTTACTTATTTAAATTTGTATTTTTTTAAATATAATCCAATGATAAATGAAGTTTCGTACCGAGCATGAGTGTTTGTTTTTACGTCACAGTATATTTTTCAAATTGCCTTTTAAAAACTTTCTTTGCCTTAAAAAAATAAAATTACACACACAATAACATCTCCTAATTAATCCCAGCAAGATGGGTGCAGAGTTGCTTCAGTAAATTCTGGAATTCCAATTATTTACAGGTCATCCAAAGGCCTATGTGATTAAAAAAAATGTAAAAAGCAGCAATGAAACTAAAGAAATTGAGAAGTTGAAGAACAGGTTATAACCAAATAACTCAGCATCAACTATTTAAAATATAACTAAGCTGATAGATGATACATTTCTCAAAGGTGTTTTACTATTAGGGTCAGGATTACAAAAGGAGAAGTCATAGCATGCAGCACTTAACTCAATATTGTACTCCATAATGCACATCAGGGTGACCTGAAATCCTACTGTAATCGTCTGAAAATAAACTGGAATTAAGTACAACACCAACCTGTCAATGGTAGAAGCACCAAGATAGCCAGGCAAGGAATTCTCGAATCATATAGCATGTACAGATTCAGAAGCCTTGGAATTGAGACTCTATAAACTAATTGGGGGTATGTACAACGTAAAAAGTTCAGTGGAACTGAACATCTTGCTATGTCAATGTCATGACCAGATACCTCCTCTTTCAATAAGTTGAGGTCCCATGATGAGCCATAACCATCCTATAAACTGATACTGTGTCGAAGTATAGATCCTCAAACACAATATTTTCAACTAAAACTGAAATACATGGGCTTTCAACGGACCAGGTGTACAACCTGCAAGTATGGATAGTCCGGAAAGTTCACCTGTTGAACTGGAACCTGCATATGCAATTCTCGTGGGTCAAACAACTGAAAAAGCAGATTCAGTAAAAATGCTTTTACTATTTTATCTTACAATTTGAATTTTTCTGATTTTACAGTCAATTAATGTTAGCATTTCTGAATTCCAATCCTTGATTGGTTCACACACAAAAAAAGGATATTGCACCGATGTCTAAAAAAAATAATTTTGATGAAGTAATTTCTCGGTTATTGAGTGCAGATTTTATCCGTAGACTTTTTCTATTTCATACTCACAGTTACCTTGAGGATTGCACAAGTCAAGTATGAGAAAAACATGAATCAAACTGGAAGAATGTTCATCGATATTCAAGGCCTTCAATTGATGCAAATTCAGTGCAGCTGCTTTGCAAAATCACCACTCTCCCGCTATTTGTAAATAATGGAATTGCAAGAAAACCATCAAACTATAGAATCAGTATAACATAACTTGCAAGTGGAGCGTTATGCACAGATCACAAACCTCTGTTCATCAGACCAAGTATGAGAAGAACGAGGTCCCGGGAGAAAAAGAAAAAAGAAAAGAAACTATACAATAATGTTTGCAGTTTGCAAGCATCAGCTGGATAGATGTTTTAAAAAGTAAAATTAAAGGGAAAAGGGATGAACTTATAAGAAACCGAAACAACCATAATAGAAGAAATAAGCAGTAGAAATTGCAATCAATAGAAATCTTACATTAGGCCATCTTGTCACAAGGGGATGTAAATCGGGAACAAAATTCCCGATAAGGAGTGAATTCCTCTTGCCATTTTGAGAAGTTCTTCTTCAATAAATTTGAAATTTTCGACTCTTGTGAACTAAATTTCACCTCACGAGCATCAAATTTCAAGTCGATTGGGCACAGATCATCAAAGAACTCTAGTTTGAAAGTTTCCACCTTTTCAGGATGAGGTGACTGTTTCTCATGCACTTTTGTAATCATGGAAGCAAACTTGTCATCCTGATACACACAATTATCCTCTTTGTGAACTTGAAAAGAGAGCTGACATGCAGTTGGATGGTATAGAAGGAAAGACTTTGGTTTTTCAGAATGATCCAAAAAGTCATCTCTGTCATCATCAAGGGAGATAGCATTATCATCCTGAAGCTTGGTTGTGGAATCTGAAACAGCCACTTCCTTGGCCACCTGCACAACTTCATTGCATCGAACGTTGAGTTCCGATTCTGATGAAAATCCGCCTGTTTCTTCCTGTGAATTTGGACAACCATTACGAAGCTCATGAAGCGTAGACAAAAAAGCGAGAGGAAGAGCTGGACCCACAAGGGCATCACTACTTTGCACTTTACGTGAACACCTACTGCTGTGGTTTGAAGGCTTCCGCAAGAAAAATGGAGGTAATTGAGGTAGTTCTGGAACAACTGAAAATTCCAAAGCAACCCTTTTCTGATCCAAAAGTACTTCATGCAATTCAGAATAGCTGGAAAAGGCGAGTTGTAAGAATTCCATTGGCAATTCAGCCCACATTCTCCTCAAAGCTACCTCATGGATGCTTGTTGGCAAGTTTATGTCATTAAATGTAACTGTAATGGCGGGGGATGTTCTAAATTGACCAAACCCACAAATTTTCAGCTTCTTGCACAATACTTCATGAAATTCTAGGCTGAACATTTCCTTCTCATGAGGACACTCACAAGGCTTTGCCATGCTTGAATCGAGAACTTGAGAAAGGTTGCCATTCAAATGTGCATGTAGATAGTTCAGTTCAAAATACTTAAATTTTCTAGGGACCTTGTATTCCTCATCACCCATGAAGTAAAGTAAGTTGTCTTCTGAATGCAGCATTGGATCTCTTTGAGCCACTTCTATATTTTTAACCAATTCCCATGAGGCACAATATCTCTGTAATTCAAGTTTTCCTGATGACATCAATCTAATTAAAACAAAACCACCAAATTCATCAGGCTCAAACAACAATGAAGAGAGATCGTTGTTTAAAACACCAAAGCCCAACACTATGTGTTTTTTCTGCTGCCAATCAGTCCATTCAGGAAGAGCTTCCTTCCAAAACTGTTCTCTTACAAGGCAATCTCCACGTTGACAATCATCACCTGATAACATGAGACCTGAAGGGTGGTCCCAAGCATATAAACAACTGGAAAATTTAGAAATTTCCAAGGCAGTGGACCCTTTACGAGGAGGAAAGGATGGTCCATAGCAAAAGAGGCTGAATTCACAATTCCAAAATGACCCCAAAATAATGCCAAAACCTGAAGAATTCGCCCAGTCATGTGTGTCATCCCTTGAGTTGGACCTCAAATCAGACAATCTAAACACATCAATAAAACATGGCTTATCAAGACCATGTGCCCATTGCAACAATGGTATCATAGGCTTGCGCACATCACAAATAACTAACATAGTTTCAGAAACCAAAGCAAAATGAAGACTATCTGAAACTGCCCTGGACATAGCTAGGAACCGTTCCCTTTCACTAAGAGCATATGCACTAAACATATCAATCCTTGCTAAACAAGTCACATCAAAACCACCGCATTTCCAATCAATCATAAAAACAGCATCTGACCGTGCAACAATCAAAACCCTACAATGCCAACTAAACTCACACCCTAACCATTTACAATCTCCTAACTTACCTTCATCACCCCACGAAACTTTCAATTTAGCACCCCTAAAATACATATCGGAACAATCGGCTTCCAAATCAAACAAAAATAATGCACCATTCTCCAACATAACCACACTCTGAACTTTTATATAAGGACTCCAACAAGCACTCGCAATTCCACAACTCTTAAAATTCTTACAACCTAAATAACTCAAAACAGGCCTTTTCATACTTTCACTATATTTAACGCAGAACCAATTCACAGAATACATGGTATAAACTAACAAATAACCAAAAGAGCCAGAAAAGGAATAATTACCATTCAAAAAAGAATCATCCTCAATGGGGTTCACTAAGACCCTCACAATCTTTGACCCCAAACTCTTACTAGCAGTAAAAATCCCACCCTTTTGATCCCCAGTAGCCACCAAGCTCTTATCTTTAACAGAAAGTAACAAAAACCCAACTCGGTCAAGATTAGTCCCAGTGGAAAAAAACACAACAACAGTATCATCATGTGGGCATTTAAGGAACTGGAGTCTATGATAAGCTACCAAAGGAGAAGAAAAGTGTAGATCTTGGGGGCCAAAAGAAAAGGCAATAGAGGAAGCAGTAGAGTGAGGGAGAGGAGAGTCAGCGAGTGTTGAAGTGGAGATAAATCTTGTGAGAGAAAGATGGGGTGGTGGGTTTAGAAGAGGAGGTGCGAGAGCAGGAGAGGTGAAGAGGTGTGCCAGTGATTCAGGGATTGGGTTGAAGATAAGTGGACCAATAAGGGATTCTGAGGTTTCTTTTGAGAGTAAGAGTGGTGCTTTAGACACAGTGTCTATTGGAAATCCTGACTTCCATTCTTGTGAAAACTCGATCATTGCCATGGTCGTGTCTTTCAGGCAGACCAAAAACCCTTCCGAGAGACAGAAGGGTGGCAAAGATACGAGAGGTTCCAAGACCTCTTAACTCTTAAGGTTTCTCGTTTTTAAGGGTTTTACTTCCATCCCTCTATTTTAAAATTGTCCATTGTTATCCCTATATTTTCAGAATGTTTCAATTTAGCCACAACTAACTAAAACCCACTAATTTCATATTTTTATTATTTTCCCTTGTATATTCCTTTAATAGTGTTTTTGAGTATGTCATAAAAGTTATTTTTAAAAATATTTTTACTTAAAAATATATTAAAATAATACTTTTTTATTTTTTAAAAATTAATTTTAACATCAGCACATCATCACGGTCTAAAAATATAAAAACTCTAATTTGAAATAAACAATTTAAAATTTAAACTTTTTTTAAAATATTTTTGAAATAAAAAAAAAGGAGTCTTAATATATATTAAAATATATCACAATAAAAAATAATATTTAAAAAATAAAAACCAAATTCAAAAGTTGGCTATTTAATGGTTTGGGGAATTTTTGAATTATTTTGAAAACTACAAGGGTAACATTAGGAAAGTTTAAAATATAGGGTTAAGAGTGGATATTAATGATTTTATAGGGATAAAGATAAAGTTTACCTGAAAGATGTAATTAAATTGTGGAGTGTGAGCTTTGAGTGGAGCTGCAGAAAAATAATGGAGTCGAGGGGGGTGGCGAGCCACAGCAACATTGTTAGCAGCAAACAAAAGAAGGCTAAACGCAGAGAGGTATAACCCAAAAAACAACACGAAAAAAAGGCTTTCTTTCTTTTCTTTTAAGGGATTTCGAGATGTAAAGTTTCAGTCTTTTTTTATTTTTTTATTTAGATACTGGAAAAGAAGAAGGCAATTGATGAATTGATAAAAGCAGCATCTTCTGAGAAGGACCATCTTGTTTATTTCCAACCATTTTGTCATTACAATAGAAACGGTATAATCCTTAGTTCCTCGCTCAAAATTGGTTCATATGGTTGATTTTTATTTTTTTTGTATTTCTTTACTTGGTTCTTATGAGTGCATTTTTATTGGATGATTGAGTTGGCTGATTTACTCTAGTTATTTAGTATTAGATTTTAGCATGTTGGTTCCTTTTGTTTACAAATTCTATGTTTTTGAAAGCTGAATCCCTGTCATGATTTGATTACTAGGTCTGTCTGTGTTTTTAGAATCTGGAAGTGGGGATAAACTTTCCTCTTCTGTAAAGCGGTACATTCAAAACCTCCTTAAGGTAAAAAATAAAATAAAATGAGTTTAAGAGTCTTATTGTTTTTGTTATTTTGGGCTTCTGTGATCTCATATTGCACGTGCTCTATAAACATGTCAGTTGGAGATTCTGTGTTAGTACCATTGTGGAATTGCCTAAATTGTTTGAAATTTACAGGTCAATATGGAGATGGCGTTTGGTCCTGAGTGGTCAACAGAAGAAAAGGTGAAATGTAGGGACATGGTTGCTTCAGAAGCGCGTTATATATTTGTTCACGAGGCTCCAAATGCTAGTGTTGATGAAATTTCAATGAAGTTAGATAAAAGCCCCTTGGTTGGATTTGTAAATTATCGCTTTACTCTTGAGGAAGATATACCTGTTCTTTATGTGTATGAAATACAGCTCGAGTCTCATGTCCAAGGGAAGGGATTGGGGAAATTCCTTATGCAACTAATTGAGCTTATTGCTCGCAAGGTGCTGAATGCTCTTTCTTGTAGCTCTTTAATGATGGTGAATAACTAATGAGATATATGAAAACACCCATGTTTCTAGGTTTTCTAATTGAACAGCATACAAGTAATATGAACTATCCTTCTCCCCTGCCATGTAAATCTCTAGTATCTTTACTTTGTACCTCAGAATTAAATCTTCTAGATGCTAATTGTGCTTCATAGTTGAGATTTAATTTACTCATTTCATCTTCTGTAGAGCTGCATGGGTGCTGTAGTATTAACGGTTCAAAAAGCGAATGCATTAGCCATGAATTTCTACAGAAGTAAGCTGAGGTTTGTCTTTTGCTCGAAATACTGTTATCTTAGTGATCTCTTAAATTTAGTGACATTTAGCTCTGAGTATCTAAGTTGAGTTCCACTCATTTGCTAGATAAAATGCAATGGTAATGAGTATACTTGGATGCTAATGGTAGTTAAAAACCAGAAGAAACCGCTTTCCTTCCTAGGCTACTAACCATTTCCCACCAATCCATGATCTTTCTTTATCATTTCTGCCACAAAAAAATGGTTTTTAAGACTTTTTTATTCATCATCAATATCATTTTTATGCAGATACACAATATCAAGCATATCACCATCCAGAGTTGATCCCTTGGTATGCAATTATTGATTACATTATGTACAGTATCTAAAATTTATGTTTACCCCCTCAGTTATAAGGAGCTTTATTCCTTGTACAGATGGGTCTTGAGAAGAGTTACGAGATTCTCTGCAAAGCATTTGACCATGAAGCCAAAGCTATATTGGAGGTACAAACTATGACATTATTTTCTATGAATAATAATGTTGTAATCTTAAAAACACATGCCATTTTGTTCGTGTGAGAATTCAGGATAGAAAAAGAAGCTTTCTTCCAGGTATAGTTTTTGATATTTCGTGCATGTTGAGAAAATTTTGATGTGCTTATGTTTGCACATGGCTAGCCTTTGTAAATAAACAGACAGATGATTGAAGATTTCTACCATATATTGCTAGCATTGTGTGGTTGAATGTTAGTGTTAAAGAGTAAAACTGCACTATAATTAGGGTTTGTTTCTGGGGTTCATTTAACCAATGTATTTCATAGGTTAGTAGGCTTCATTGTCATCAACAGCACTGCCCTGTTCATTCCGGAGACAAATTTTTCTGTTGATTTCCACTTATGTATTCCATCATATTTACCAATGAAAAGTTCCACTAGTGAAAAAAGCACATGTAACGTTTCATTTATCAAATGTTCTTGTCCATCTTGAAGAAATAAAATTGCAAAGATGGAAAACTTCCACAAAAAATGCTTCACTTGGTCAATGGATGGTCTCATTAGTGCAACTCTTGGCCATTACATGCTCTGTTCGGCAAAACCATCTACTAATCAAAGAGAAGCTGTAAACCACCACCAAATAGCACATGCCTTAGCATGCTGTTCTTAGAGTCACCCAACAAAATAAACTAGAAGCCCATAGGAAGTACAAAATATTCTGTGCTATGATGTGGAACCGAATCCACATGCCCATCCCCATTTCTGGAATACATGTGAAGAGAAATCTTGAAGTCAGAGCACTTTATCTAATCATTGCTACTACAAACTTGACCGGTTGGCCTTCAGAGATTTATTTACGAAAGTCTTCTGATTTGGCCGTGATGCAATAAGCTTTCTAGGAATGCTGTTTAGAAGATGGAAAGGCAGTACTAGGAAGAAACCCAAAAAAATTGCTGATTTGATACAAAAGTCTTCATCTTTTTGGTTCTTTTTGGTGCAGTTAATTTGGGGGGGGGGGATTCTCAAGCTTTTGAGGGTCACTCATACAAATTCTTTCTGACATATACTTTAATTGAAGGATTTTTTCATCCTCCTGTTTATTATACAAAATTATTTTGTTTTTTTATATGCAGGGGAGTGGATGAGCAGGAGAGAGATGACTTTTCAGTGTATTCTTGATGTATGTTCTGAATTAAACCTTTTCTTTTTCTGTATGTCCTTTCTCATTCCCTTTTTCTTAAATACAAGATAGAATGGATTAATTACAGAGAATCATTAAATTTGATTCTGTGCATGAACCATCTCGATGACTGATGCTCTTCACCGTCATTGACAATTGAACTTCGAATCTTTTCTTTTTTCCCCCAAAGTTGTGGGCTTATAATTATGTTAGTTGATCCTGAATTGTGAAATTGCATCTTGTTTAAATAACTCAGTTTTATTTAAACTGTTTGCGCTATGTATTGTGGTGATTGTACTATTGATTTAACTCTAGGATTGGAATGTGAGTGTTGATAAATTTTGTTGGCTTCTAAATGAAGTAAACAGAAGGGTCTAAGCTATAAAGAGTGTTGGGGTTATTGGTGGAAAGTGAAATAATTGTGTCGAAAAGTTGGTAGCTAATAATGCATTGAGCTTTTCTCCCTCATTTATTTCTTGGTAGTGTATTTGGGTGGGAAGGGGAGGGGGGAGCTGATGATTCACAGAGCAAGACAAGGTTTTCTCACTTGTCTTTGATGAGCAAGAACTTCCTTGAATGAGAAAAACTCATCCATTGACACAAATAAGAGTTCTTTTTTCTAGGAAATATTTGCTCCCCAATTTTTAGAAGTAGTTCACTAAAATACACAAAAATGAAGGAAGTGTTATGTGAAATCTGTTGATGTTCCAAAACCATTTCCTTTGCAAAATTTATCTTAAATAAAATTCGCATGAAAAAAAAAGTATTTAAATGCTAGGTTGGTTGAAAGTGCTAGTTTTAGGAAGTGAGAAAAGTGAACTTCTAGGATGGCACTTGACATTCAGCATAAGTGTTTGCATGGCTGTTAATTTTGTCAATCATGTGGCAAAGTCTTCTGAACCACGGGGAGATAGAGGGTATGAACAAAGAGAAAATAGCTCCTGGATGATATTATAATAAAAAATTGTCACAACTATTGTAGCATGATATTTTGGCAGTTATGTGGACCCGTTTTAAAAATTTTGGAACCTATCCTGAAAAGCTATAAGGCCCTTGGATTGAAACAAATAAATTATCCATCCTTGGATTAAAAGCCTCTCGATTATTGGTAAATTGCTAAGCCAATCACCCAGAATTTGCAATTATTTTCTAGTATGATTTAAACGAGTAGCATTAACCTGCTATAGCAGGTTTAACTGACTCATAGCAGTTATATGATAATTAGGTAATATTCCCGAATTTATTATTTCAGGACCATAGAAAAAAACATGATATTTTTTAGTCTCCTAACCTAGCAATTAACTTAAACTGAAACCCATATATTGAAGTAAAAATTTTATCAAAATACATAACTGCTATTCTTCGTTGTTGGAATATTTTCCTTCGTCAGCACACTAACAACTTTAGCTTGATCTATTTCCTTATGTTTTGTAATAACTCTCCTTTTTTTTTCCTGGTCTTCTTTTTGTTTCCATCCATTACATTTTTAAACCTCTGACATTTCATTACTGGAATGGACTCTTTTCTCTTGCTCATGCTTGATTTAATACAACAAAATATCGGCAGGTCATTGGCATCTCCAAGAAGTTTAGCACTCCAGCAATCCAGGAATTAGGGGAATGTATGTTCTCAATTCGAAAAGCATCGCTTAGAAGGTTTTAGCCTTGATTTTTTCAACTAGCTTTGCTGTAAATTTTCCAGATTATAGATAACTGTTTTGAAATAGTCATTCACTGGAATTTAGTTTGTGCTGAAATTGTGTGATATTCAGTATATTCTAATTTTTCCAATTTCTGTGGTTGCTTGAAAGTATATGAAAATTTGCATGGTGGGATGGAAGAAGCGACTCAAAATATTGAAGCCTGGGAGACTGTTTAGCAGGTCGTGGGCTGTCACTTGAGTGAAATACCAGGGAGCTGATATTGCCTAATTTCACTTTGTTCTTGCAGTCTCAGAGAACCTTTTGTTTTACTGACATCTCCTCATTACTTTAGCCTTAAGTCTCAAACTTGTTAGTGCCATGCTTTACATGCTAGTTCTAATGTACAGGAAAAAGATTTCCTTTTCTTTACTGTTTCTTCTTCTGGTTAATTTAGATAAATCTTGTTCTAGGTCTGGTCTGCATGGTGAAAGAGAGGCCTTCATTTTGAATGATAAAAAAAAGCAGCATTTCAAGGTCGTGCAGTTCAAAATTTTGGGCATAATTTCTAAGCTGTTTGCATGTCATTTTTGAGACTATAAAACTAAGGCACTTGCCCAGGTCTTCACTAGGAAACCTGATGGAAGCAAAGGTTTCTGATATAGCAAATTGGGATCTAAGTGGGTGTCAAAATTTACTCTCAAGGAAAAGTTTATTTGATTTGGATCTGGCACAATGAACATTTTTGGAATATGATACATCAACTTGAACCGGTCTAGGAATGATAGATTGGTATGGAAGTTTGTTAGGAAAGGCTTGTGCAGTGTTAGATCATTTTATGTTACTTTAGAGGGCATTGATGGGTTGTTCAAGATTTCTAGTGTAAAGATATTGTGCGGAGAAGATTGATTCCACCAAAAGTATGTTCTTTTGGAAAGTATTGTGGGGAAATTATGATAAAGGAAGTATCGTCCAGATAGGTTGCTCAAAAAAACTATCTTAGATAAAAATTAAAAAAAATTGCTGATAACCTAGTATATATCAGAGAAGGATTTTGTTTGTCAGTTGTAATGAGGCATGGAGAATTTGGACCGAATGTTTAGATTGGTGGGGCTTATAGCAGGTTCTACCTTGTTATCGGAGCTGTACCCTAATTCGGTTTTCTTTTTTGTCCTAATAATAATGTGAACAATTCTGAGTTTTAGCTGGTGTTCTGAGGTTTCTCCTATTCATGTCATTTGAGTTGTTAGAGGTGCTCTGAAAACTATTGTTTTGTACGTGTGGAGGTTGAAAGTTACTCTATTTAACTTTCTAAGAGATAGAACTTTCATTCGGTTGGATATATTACAACCGCGTATGGACCTGTTTCTTTTTTATCATCGTCTTGTTTCTGTTCTCTTGTGTTACTCAAGACTATTTGCTATCTTGGATCGAGCATGGGTTTAAATGCCATGACCAAGATTGTGGTTTGCCCTTACAAAAGTTGTTCATCTGGGGGGCGGAGGGGGTGCTGATATTAAGCTGCTGCAGTTTCGAAGCTTGTTTTTTTCCTTGGGAAAAAACAAAGAAAGGTTGGATACTTGTCGTTTTCCTATTATTATGGGCGTATTAGAAAACAATTTACTGACTTTAGGCAATGGATAAACCACTAGCAGGGTTGCTACACGCCATGAAATCAATGGTGAATATCTCCTGTCACGGCAGCAAATGACTCGTCGCAGTCTCTAATCGGTGTTAAGTTTTAGAACTCTAAAAAGCTTGATTTTTTATTTTTCGACTTGTTTTAACTTGAAAATACCTGAAAAAATACCCCAAAAGCTCTGAAAAAACAATTTGCAACCACAGAGCAACATCCAATCTCTCTGAAAAACAAATAATAATCATGTAAAAATTTTTTAACAACCCCGAGTAAACCTTTGAGGAAAGGTTCAAGTTAAGCTGCCACCCCGAAAGCAAACAAAAGCTTACCAAACAGCGGCCCCCATGAGTCATGCCCATTATTTATAGCATTTGAGACGCCAGCCACGACTCCATCCAGGTTATCATCAGCAATGTTGTCGGTGGGATGAGCAACGTGGTCCACTTAAAAGCATACAGCTCTGAGAATTCATCATGGAATATGTGAGGCTGGGTGTTGTTTAACGTATTGCTACTTTCCAAAAGCATTTACTTTGTACAAAACTACAAATAGCATCTGCTTGCGTGTGATAAAATACTAGATATTTCACTTTTGGAAAGCTCCATGCACAGCTGCACGGGAATGCTGCGGCCATAAATGCTAAATTATTATGGATTAATTACTCATCTGAGAGATTATCACCTAAGATATGCACTCCAAGAAAGTGCCTCTTATCGCTGAGGGTTCCATAATATATTGTAATTAGGTAGATCAATGGGTGGAGTTGGTACGTAGTTCTCCACTGTGTTGTTGAATCTCTTTATTCATTTTGTTAGAAGAAAACTGAGGAACAAGTTGAAGAAATAAGAGAGAAGAACGAAATAATGCAATTCTGCATTAAAATCAATCTTTTATTGTCTAGATTCTACTATTCTCGTGCATTCTTTGAATTATCCACGGACTTGTAACCTACTAGCTAATTCAACAAGCTAATCTTGACACGTTAGAATGTGTTAATCAATACGTGCAAAACAAGCTAACAATGAATACTGCATTTTTGCCATGTTCATCACACGTTGCTGCTAAGTTTCTTTCATCAATCATTAGCTCGTAGCAATACTTGCCTCTTCGAGAGATCCTTGTCCGCATGAACTTTTGCAAATATTTAAAAATTATTCATTGAGTTCTTTCTATTAACCTTAAGAGTTTTATTTGAAGTCATCTATAACGAAGATCCTCTGTCATAAAATTTAATGTTTTTTATATTGTTAGTGTCAAACAAATCAAATGGATCTCTTTTCGACATAAAAAGAATAGCCTTTAACTCCCGTTGATCCTTAATAGAGAAGTGCTTAACAACTATATAATCATCCCAAACACTGGTCAAACTCTTGTAGGGAGAAGCATGCTCCTCCTTGGTGATCTCTTCAAGCTTGCACAACCAAATAGGCTTCTCCTTGTTATGGAATTGTCACCGATCCTCCTTAATCTTTTTTTTCTTAGATCCACTCTCCTTAATCCTCTTTAATCTTGCTTTATTTTCCCTCTTCAATTCATCATCCATATAATTCTTAGCTTCTTGCACCTCCACACTAGAACTCTCTAAATTTTCGTCAAACTCTTCACTTTTAGAAGATCTAAACAATAATTCACAATAAGCAACATTCTTATTTTTATTAAAAGAATCAAACTTTACTTCATTTTATTCAAAACTCACTTTTTTTTCTCTCTCTGTAAAACTCATCTCAAATTTAGTTAAAAAAGAGCATTTTATCTCATTGAAAGTATTTTGACCCATTGTAGCAAGTTCTTGATGCAATGAGAATTGAACATATACACTAATGCTTGTATATTATTGATGAGCATTAATTGTGGAAATAACATCTTGTATTTAAAGGAAAGTATGATTTTTATCATAAAGTATAACAAGTTTCGTTATAATTTCAAATAACTGAAATATCTGAAACAAGTTAATTTCATAAATATCACACCTCATGTTACAAATATGAATAACTTGAAAAG